AAATTTAATTTTATATCATACAAAATTAACATACAAAAATCAGTTACATTTCTATAAAACTATTTATAAAATAGCTGAAAAGAAACCTGAAAAACAATCCCATTTAATATACCATCCAAATAAATAAAACACTTAGGAATGAAGTTAACAAATGAGGTAAAGACTTGTATACTGAAAACTACAAAACATCGCTGAAAGAAATCAAGACGTAAATAAATGGAAATACATCCTATGTTCATGAATTGGAAGACTTAATGTTAAAATATTCAAACTATCCAAAGCAACTTACATATTTAATGTAATCCCTATCAAAATCCTAATGGCATTTTAAAACATATATATTTTATTGATTTTTTTTTAATACAGAGAGAAAGGGAGAAGGAGAGAGATAGAGAGTTAGAAATATCAATGAGAGCCCACAACCAAGGTACATGCCCTTGACTGGAATCAAACCTGGGACCCTTCAGTCCATCGGCCAACACTCTATCCACTGAGCCAAACCAGTTAGGGCAATCCTAATGGCATTTTTTACAGTAATAGAGGAAAACAATCCTAATGTTTATATGGAACCACAAAGCACCTGAAATAGTCAAAACAATCTTGAGAAAAAACAAATCTGAAAGTATCACACTTCCTGGTTTCAAAATATATCATAAAACTACAGTAATCAAAACAGTATGGTACTGGTCTAAAGACAGGCATAGAGACCAAGAGAAGAGAATGGAGCAATCCACCTGATCTCTGACTAGTGTGCCAAGTATACACAATGAAAAACAATAGTCTTTTCAACAAATGGTGTTGGAAAAATTGGATATCCACATGCTAAAGAATGAATTTGATCCCTTATTATATACCATCTATGAAAATCAACTCAAAATGGAGAGAAGACTTAAACATAAAGCCTAAAACTGTAAAACTCCTAGAAGAAAATCTTGGGGCGGCGGGGCGGGGGCGGGGGAGCTTCATGGCATTGGTCTTGGCAATGATTTCTTGGATAGGACACCAAAAAGCACAGGCAACAACAGAAAAAAATAGACAAGTCGATCTATATCAGACTAAAAAAGCTTCTTCACAGCAAAGGAATTCACAGAGTGAAAAGGTAACCTATGGAATGAGAGGAAATATTCCAAACCATATATCTGATAAGGGGTTAATATTCAAAATACATGAGGAACTTCTACAATTCAATAACAAACAAACAAAAACACCAAATAACCCAGTTTGAAAATTGGCAGAGGACCTGAATAGACATTTCTTCAAAGAGGACATAGCCGATAGACATATGAAAAGGTGCTCAGTGTCACTAATCATTTGAGAGATACAAGTTTAAACCACAATGAGATATCACCTCACATCTGTCAGATTGGCAATCATCAATAAATCAACAAGGAACAGGTCCTGGAGAGGATGTGGAGAAAAGGGGGCCCTGTGCACTATTGGTGGGATTGTAAATTAGTGTAGCCACTATAGGAAATACTATGGAGTTTCCTCAAAGAATTAAAAGGGGTGCTGCCTTATGATCCAGCAATTCCACTTCTGGGTATTTATGAAAAACAAAAACACATGCACAAAAAGCACACTAATTCAAAGAAATCTGGTATATTTACACAATGGAATACTACTCAGCTGTAAAAAAGAAGGAAAGCTTAACTTTTGCGACAGCATGTATGGACCTAGAGGGTATTATGCTAAGTTAAATAGGTCAAAAAAAGACAAATATTATATGATTTCACTTATAAGCGGAATCTATAAAAACAAAACAAATTAATAAAACAAAATACAAACAGAACCATAGATATGGAGAACAAGCTGATCATTGCCAAAATGGGGGCTGGGGGATGGGAATTAAACAAATGTGTAGTTGGGGAAAAGAAATGATCAGAGTACTTAAATAGCCATCTTTCAAAAAAAAAAACAATAACAAAAAAGATACACAATTGGCCAACAGGTATATGAAAAAAAATGTTCAAAATCTCTGATCATCAGGGAGATGCAAATAAAAACCACAATGAGTCATTTACAGTGATGAACAAATCACACCTGTTAGGAAGACTGCATTAAAAAAAAATCCAAAAAAATACCAAGTGTTGACAAGGATGTAGAGCAATTGAAACTCTGTATACTGTTCATGGGAATATAAAACGGTGCCACTGCTATGGAAAACAGTATAGAGGTTCCTCAAAAAAATTTAAATAGAGCTACCATATGATCTAGCAATCACACTTCTGGGTATATATCCAACAAAAGTCAGAGCAGAGTCTCCAAGAGATACTGGCACACTCCTGTTTATTGCGGCATTACTCAGAATAAGATGTGAAAACAGCCTAAGTGTTCATCAGTGGATGGATGAAGTAATGAGGTATAGAAATAATATTCAACCTTTAAAAAGAAGGACATTTTGCCACATGCGACAGCATGGATGAATCTTGAGGACCTTTTTCTAAGTGAAATAAATCAGTTACACAAGGACAAACTGCATGATTACACTTAAATGAGGTGTTAAAAATTATCAAACCAATAGAAGCAGAGAGTAGAATGGTGGTTTCCAAGGGTTCGGGGAGGAAGAAATGGGAGTTGCAATTCTTCAACGGGTATAGTTTTAGTTACATAGGATGAGAAAGTTGTAGGGATCTGCTGTATAACATTGTGCATATAGTTAACTCTGTGTTATGTATTTAAAACTGTGTTAGGGGGTAAATCTCATGTTAAATGTTCTCATTATATATTTAAAACCGTGTTAGGGGGTAAATCTCATGTTAAATGTTCTCACAAACACTTTCACTTTTTCCCTCTGATCTCTGAGGAAATGTATGAAGCCTGAATTTGTCACAACTTCCCAGGGGTGACTCTTAGTTGAAATGTCACACTATAGGAAATACTATGGAGTTTCCTCAAAGAATTAAAAGGGGTGCTGCCTTATGATCCAGCAATTCCACTTCTGGGTATTTATGAAAAACAAAAACACATGCACAAAAAGCACACTAATTCAAAAAGATATATTTACCCCTATGTTCATTGCAGCATTGCTAGTGTTAGCTAAGATATGGAAGGAACATGGATGTCAGGGAAAAGAAATGATCAGAGTACTTAAATAGCCATCTTTCAAAAAAAAAAACAATAACAAAAAAGATACACAATTGGCCAACAGGTATATGAAAAAAAATGTTCAAAATCTCTGATCATCAGGGAGATGCAAATAAAAACCACAATGAGTCATTTACAGTGATGAACAAATCACACCTGTTAGGAAGACTGCATTAAAAAAAAATCCAAAAAAATACCAAGTGTTGACAAGGATGTAGAGCAATTGAAACTCTGTATACTGTTCATGGGAATATAAAACGGTGCCACTGCTATGGAAAACAGTATAGAGGTTCCTCAAAAAAATTTAAATAGAGCTACCATATGATCTAGCAATCACACTTCTGGGTATATATCCAACAAAAGTCAGAGCAGAGTCTCCAAGAGATACTGGCACACTCCTGTTTATTGCGGCATTACTCAGAATAAGATGTGAAAACAGCCTAAGTGTTCATCAGTGGATGGATGAAGTAATGAGGTATAGAAATAATATTCAACCTTTAAAAAGAAGGACATTTTGCCACATGCGACAGCATGGATGAATCTTGAGGACCTTTTTCTAAGTGAAATAAATCAGTTACACAAGGACAAACTGCATGATTACACTTAAATGAGGTGTTAAAAATTATCAAACCAATAGAAGCAGAGAGTAGAATGGTGGTTTCCAAGGGTTCGGGGAGGAAGAAATGGGAGTTGCAATTCTTCAACGGGTATAGTTTTAGTTACATAGGATGAGAAAGTTGTAGGGATCTGCTGTATAACATTGTGCATATAGTTAACTCTGTGTTATGTATTTAAAACTGTGTTAGGGGGTAAATCTCATGTTAAATGTTCTCATTATATATTTAAAACCGTGTTAGGGGGTAAATCTCATGTTAAATGTTCTCACCACGATTTAAGAAAACTCTGACTATAAGCTATTGTACCATCTTAGTAGAATATGTGTTCAGATGGTTTTAATTTTGTTTAGGGTTTTGTTTGCTGGTTTGCTATAATGGTAAAGCATTCTCACCCATCCTTGTCTTTTGTGTGGTCCTTTTTGTAATCAGGGCCGGATTTATGACAACGCACAATGGGATTCTGTGTGTTAACATTTGAAGAGGCACACAAGCGGCCTAAACTTGACAATGTTTCCCTCCCTGCTTTGAAACTCCCAAAGTTTGTCATCCCTTTGAGCTAAGATCCTTATTCAGGGCAAGTTGTTTCCAGATAGTCATTGAAATATTGATACATAGCGTACTTCAGATAATCTCCTCTGTTATCAGAGTAGATGCAGTTTGACGTATTTTGAGAATTAAGGTCAGATCCGGAAGAGAGGTGACATAACAACACTGAGAGATTGGGCTGAGGAAGAAAGAGAGCAGAAGGTCTTCAGAAAGAAAAGACTGCAGGGGAAATACTGGCAGCTGGCTTTCGTGTGAGCTTGGGAGCGCCCTTCCTGTCCTCATGGCACACATTTCCAGCATGATTGGCAACTTTTAAGGAGAAAGGCTAAGGTCATGAAATAAAGTTTGTTTCTTCTCTTTTTCCTCCCTCACTCATTCTTTTTTATTTTCTGCAAAAGCTAGCTGTGCTGTGTCAATATTGCACCTGCTACTGTGACCTCCTTGTAGCTCCAGCCTCTAAGGCAGCGGTTCTCAACCTGTGGGTCGCGACCCCTTTGGCAGTCAAACAACCCTTTCACAGGGGTCGCCTAAGACCATCCTGCATATCAGATATTTACAATACGATTCATAACAGTAGCAAAATTACAGTTATGGAGTAGCAACGAAAATAATTTTATGGTTGGGGAGTCACCACAACATGAAGAACTGTATTAAAGGGTCGTGGTATTAGGAAGGTTGAGAACCACTGCTCTAAATTTGTTAAAAAAAAAAAGGGGGGGGGGGGGATTTTTTTTTTTTTAACTCCAGGCAGAAACAACTAGAAGCCATTAAACAACTGCAAGAAGATGCTGTCGACCAGGAAGCCATCCTCAGAAAGAAGGTCCAAGGAGCCAGTCAACGGATAGAGGATGCAGAGGAGCAGGTAGGGCGGCCTTTGACTATGTTATATTTAGGGGAAGCCTCCTCCGATGTCCTTCAAACCATGAGATAAAAATGGAGAAGGAACAACAACAGAAAGAAAGAAAGAAAAAAAAACCCCAAAGAGGAACTGTGAAGTTCAGTCCCTGGAGACTAGCAGTGTGCGGAGGAAGTAAAGGGGGCGTTGTCAAAGAGGCGGTGTCAACAGTCTGCTGCGAAAGGAGGCAGCTCTGCAGAAAGAGGCAACTTGACATATCAGGACTGTTGGGGCTGTGGATGGAGCTGGGGCACACGGAGCCCATGCAAACACAGAATTGCAGAAGTTCAGGGGAGGCTTATCGCTTCCCTGAGAACAAAAGCACATTTGCAGTTTCCTGTGCATAAGAGTGTGCGCTCAATGGCTTTCTTTCCGGGACACACTGTGAAAACCCAGTATTAACTGTATGTCTCCAGGTTGAGGACCGAGAGGGCACAGCCCACTCTGCCGGGGAACAGGCGAAGTCGTTGCTGCATCAGTCAGAGGAAGCAATTTCAGAACAACTGAGTCTCCAGGCTATAAATACCGAGTTAGTGAACACTGGCCAGGCCCTGGAGCAGAAGACAAGGAAACTGAAAAGTGAGTAGCAACCATTTGTTACGGCCCAGTTTCGTCCCCTCTGAGGTGGGGTGAAAGGACTGCAGCCATTTGTAGAGGTTACAGCTGCTGTATTAGTGAGACAGTTATGACAATGAAATGGTTCCAGAAGGCGTACTGTGGGCGTTCGGAGGCATTTGCCTAGTAGCTAGGTAGATTGCTTTAACCACTGGCTTTCCTTTCGGTTGCTAAACTTGTCCGAGACTGTTAATGCTTTCAAAATTAAATAAAACGTCTCAATATCTGAAACAGTAAACAAGGGGGAAAAATCTTGTTCACCTGGGATAGTTGAGCCTGCAAATTGTTTGTGGATTCTGCCCTGATTTTATTAGCTAGTTTGGACCCATCTTGTGGTAGAAAAGATCATTCCTCCTTATTTTCTTTTAAGGGGTTATTTTAGGGTTGGACAAAGTGCTTATGAATTTAATGTGTGTCAAAATATTAAATATGTGTGAACATCCTTTTAAAATGTATTCTCTACATATATATTTTTGCTTTACAAGTTAGAATATTTTTTTCGTTTTTCTACATTACCTAAAAGTGGGTAAGTGTTTACTAAGGATTTAGGTGAGAAGTCAACTGTCAAATTACAGATGTCAGATTATTTATAAGTTTATTTTATTCTAAAAATGTAAAAAAAACAACAACACCATCATAAACATATAAAGCTTATTTATTTGACCATTTATCAGACAACTGACTTTGTTCAGCCAGCTTCTTGTTCTAAGTATAAATGTTCTTTTTATAGGAAGCTGTTGGTTTGGATAATAAACAATAAACTATAAGCTTAAGGCAAGGTAGAGATGGAGCTTCTCGATGTGTTTATTTTGGATTTCTTGTACCCTTTCTATTGTTATCTGAGAAGGCTATCTAAGAGTTTAAAGGAACTGGCTAGTTTTAAAGTAGCAGTGGTTATGCAACATTTTATTCTTCTTCTTAAACTTGCTAGCTTTTAATAACTCCAAGTATTGGGTCACGTTGTTTCACTCTGTCACACAATGTAAGGCTTGCTTTGAATGACACAATCTCTGCGTTATTTTAATATTGCCCAGAGGGCCTCCGAGAAGGTCCCTTTAGGACTAGAAGTGTTCAGGTTGAGGCATGAATAATAACCAAATTTGGTTTATGGTGTGTTTGCTTTGGACACTGTGCTAAGAGGACTAATCTTTTGGTGCCGTTATATTTATCTTTTGATTAAATCAATACTATACACCCTCCCCATATTTTATAAAACTAAAAATTCATCACTTCTCCCAAACCCCCATGATTTCTTCTTTGAAGTCAACTTTTGTAACTTATCTCAAAATATACATTCCTGATATTATGAACTTGCTACTGTCTTCCCAGTTTATCCTCAGGAGGTAATTGGTTCAAATATTATTGAAATTATTAAAATATTCCACCCAACTGCTCTGGGTTGAATGCATGCATTTTCTTTGGGTGGATAAAGGAGGGTGGATGACTCCTTTCTGTCCCCAGGTGCTCATAACCTGCTTGACTTTAGGAACTCTTCTACTTAATGGTATTTTTTGCTACATAAAGAAGGCAAATGTGTCAAGATTGTACTCTTCCAACCATTTGTTTCTGGAGATCTTCCTAATAATTCTCTTAAAAAATCAACCTTTGCAAGAAGAGGGAAATGTAGGTAGCAGATATTTTTTAAAAAACATATTTTTATTGATTTTTTTTTTTTTTTTACAGAGAGGTAGCGAGAGGGATAGAGTGTTAGAAACATTGACCAGCTGCCTCCTGCACACCCCCTACTGGGGATGTGCCCGCAACCAAGGTACATGCCCTTGACTGGAATCGAACCTGGGACCCTTCAGTCTGCAGGCCGACACTCTATCTACTGGGCCAAACCGGTCAGGGATAGGTAGCAGATATTTTTGACAAGTTCTATAGAGCAGACTTTCCAGACAGGCTGACTCAGTGTCACTGAGGTAAGACGGTGATCACACAAACATCCTCGCACCTCCTCCTATGACCACTGCCACCACATGCTATTTGAGTTCTGAGTCAACATTTGAATTCTGGGTCAGAAAATACAAATATTGAAATCCATTGGTTCTTCTGAAACTTTCCAGTTAGCTTAATAAAGTCATTAAATATGTAAAGCAACTACTTTCTGTTCCATCTAAGAAGGGCTCGCTAGCAAATGGTGTGGGATGCTACACATTTGTTCTGTTCATCTGCTCAGGTCAATGACAGTGGTCACAAACTGGAACTAGGAAGCTGTTTATGCCATTTGACTAGAAATTCAGAATTTAGTGCTTAATGAAGAATATTGTTCAACTTTTCAATGTGCCACCAGGACTGGATTGATTTGAGACGTAACCCACATACCTGCTTGCCTCCATGGACGGTGCCATTAGAACGGCTACATTTCTTGAACGGTTACTTGTATGTTTTCTGCTGCTTGTTGCCTTTGTGTGTACCTATGTATCTTGTTACAAAGGCAATACTGGATGAGTAAATTGATGTTTACTTTAAAAAGGGAATAAAAACATCTTAGATCTAGAGTGCGCACTCAACATACTAGGGTGAATCTAATATACATGCAACATACACTAATTGATCTCATCTAAACCATAACCCCTTTACTAGTCATCCTTTTTTTTCTTTCCTATTGACATGAAATTATCATGGAGTCACTCATTTAATAGACAATGAGGGGATTACCTTTAGAAACCAAGAACTTTTCATTGGGGAGAGAGCCTGAGAAGGTTCTGTTTATCATAACTCCTTTTTGGAACAGTGTCTATGTATGAACTGTATAGTTTAGAGAAGGCTTTCATCTAGATGATCTCACTGGAAACTCTTCTAGCTTGCTATTCTTAGCATGGAGGTCATGAGATATGGGACAGACAACAGCCTTACAACTTTGCGGATGGATGCAAGGTGAGAGCCGCATGTCCTCAGCAGTCAGTACACAAGAGGGTAATGAGACAAGAAAGGGGCATTCAGGTGATGGAGACACTTTAGGGGAGGTGTTGAAATGTGAGCCAAGGAGAAAACCGAAGTCAGGTATAGCTCTCTCAACACCTCTAATGGGATGGGGGCCTACATTTTCCCCAATGAAGGGTGCTGGTATGGATGAAGTAACCTAGGAGGCAGTACAGTTTGATGATAAAAAGCATGAGATGTGAAGTTTAAACCTGTATTCTGATTCCTGCAAAGGAGAAACTGGAGAGAGTTGGGCAAATCACTTTACCTGTTGGAGCCTGAGTATCCTCTTCCAGAAAATGCAGCAGTCGCTCATTTATAAGTAACATAACAAACGCAAAACAGTAACTAGTGCTTGGTCATACTCAGTGCCATCTGTTCTGCTAGGGCAGTGATGGCGAACCTATGACACGCGTGTCAGAGGTGACATGCGAACTCATTTTTCTGGTTGATTTTTCTTTGTTAAATGGCATTTAAATATATAAAATAAATATCAAAAATACAAATCTTTGTTTTACTATGGTTGCAAATATCAACACAATTCTATATGTGACATGGCACCAGAGTTAAGTTAGGGTTTTTCAAAATGCTGACACACCGAGCTCAAAAGGTTCGCCATCACTGTGCTAGGGCATATTCCTGTCACATTAATTGCCTCATCATGATTGGCAGATGGGTAAGGGCATGTTAGTTTACTATGGGAATTAGATTGTTTTATTTTCGATTTTCCTGGGGATAAGATCTGGTTGGAAGGAATAGAACTATAACCTCCCTTGGCTGCTGACAGGCAGCAGGAGCCCTTTCTGCCGTCTTTTAAGAAAATTAAAAACAAGTGTCTGCTCCTGGGCCTTGCTCCCCGGAGAAGCGCTGCCCCTGCCTTGTGGGGCTCTGGCTTGTCGTCGACTGTACCACCTCCTGCATTCACTTTTGTGGCTGCCCTGTCCCAGAGACCCACTGCCACCAGCATTTCATTGGCACCCCGCCAGCACCAGGCCATTTCAAGGGTCAACAGTATCTGGTGTCCTGCGAGGCAGCCTTTGGCCATTTTCATATGCATGTCTCAGTGATCCAAGTTACCTTCCTAGGTACTAATAACTCAATAACTATGTGTGTTAGTGCTCTGGTTCCTACCTTATGCAAACTCATCAACCCTGCTATTTCTGTTCTTGTTAAAGTTTTAAAATTATTTTTTTATGAGTGAATAATGACCATACCACAAAAAGTTCAGATCTTAACTTGACTGTTCAACCAGTCTGACAAATGCACATGGAAACACAGAATTTCTATAGCCCCAGAAAGCTCTCCTGTGCCCTTGCCGGTCACTCCCCCTTCCCCGCCGTCACCACCACAAGGAGCAACCACCGATCTGATCTCTGCCACTGACGGGTTAGTTCAGCCGATTCTGGAATTGAGTTACACAGTATGCACTGCGTCTGGGCCTGCCTGCTTTCCCTCAGCATTGTATTCATCCGTGTTGTGTTCACCAGCGGTATGCCCTTTTCATGGCTTAGCTGTCTGCCTCTGTAGGAACATTCCATAATTTGGTTATTTTTTTCCCTAGTGGACATCTAAATTATATACAGTTTTGGGTTGTTATAGAGAAAGATGCTATGAAGATTCATGAATGGGTCTTCATGTGGACATATATGTTTTAAAAAATATATTTTTATTGATTGCAGAGAGGAAGGGAGAGGGAGAGAGAGAGAAACATCAATGATGAGAGAGAACCATTGATCAGCTGCCTCCTGCACACCCCCTACTGGGGATGGAGCCTGCAACCTGGGCATGTGCCCTGACTGGGAATAGAACCGGTGACCTCTTTGGTGCATGGATCGACACTAAACCACTGAGCAACACCAGCTGGGCATTGCCCATTTTCAAATTAGTACATTTGTCCTTTTGTTATTGTGTTGCAGTTGCAGGATTTTTTTTACATAACGTATAGAAGTCCTTTGACAGATATATGTCTTGTAAATCATTGTAGGTTTCAACGAACCCTGGTATTTTTAATGCACAATTTTATTGAACATGAGGTAACA